TTGAGGGTCGGTACCTCACATGATGCTAGGGTTGTGGGTGGGTGGGGGTCGTGTCAACCTTGTCGGATCTAGTCGGCGAGCGCGCGCGCGATTCCGCGAGCCTTCCACGGCGACAACCAGAGATTTTCGGTTTTGGAGAGCAGCCGAAAACGAGGCGGAAAAGGGGGAGGACCCTTTCGAATAGGACTCGGATGAGTAGCGGGTGGGGGAGAGGGTGAGGGGGAGGTACCGTCGGCTGTGTCGTTCTCTTCTCTCGTGAGTAGGTAGACTTTTGTATATAGCGCGTAACGGATGTCGCGAGCGTTCCCCACAAGGGGCCGCTAGTGTAGTTTTAACCCCGATCGACGGTCTGCTGGATCCGGCGAGGTCCGTTTTAGTTTCCGGTTAGTTTCCGATTAGTTTCCGGTTAGTTTCCGATTAGCTTCCGGTTAGTTGGGCCCTCCTTTTTCGTTTGAAGTGTGCAGGGTGGTTAGACAGGGTGGTCTTCACTTCACATTACCTTACCTACGTTATGTGAACACTTAAGAGATAGCATAGTGCACCTCATTGCACCAGTAAAAATTTGCCGAGGCGGTACGAGATACGCAAAAGACGAGCGGAGGAGGAGGAGGTGGGATCGGTTTCGCGATAAACGATCAAGTTTCTGTGCTGATTTATGACAACGATTTCGTATGTACGTAAGTTTTTTGCACTTTGCAATAGTAAGAGTGTGGCAAAGATGAGGTATAAAGATGATGCAAAGTGTAAAGTTCAATATGCTCGACTATCCTGTAATCTGGAAGATTCTCCGTAGTTCCATTTTAATTTGTAGCGCGCTTGCAGCCGTTTACTCGCCGTTGTCGTGGTAACGGGCCACACGTTGGAACATTCCTACCACCTGCAGGTGTGACATGTACGTGTGAACGTGGATGAAACATCGCCACATCACGGAGACCGCGAGTCCGTACGTGTATCACAATCTCTGGCCGATCCGTGTTTGTGTTTTAATTTGTCGCGTCGTGTGCAACTCGTCAATTTTCATTATATGATATTAAAGCTCTCTTACATATTCGCCTTGTGTTCTTTAGTTAAATTTGTATTTTTATCTTCTTTTTTTTGACAAATTATGTTATGTTGTGTACACACAAGCATATTTCCTCCTGTAGCTTATTATTATCATTATTATTGTTGTCATGTTATTATACCACGCGATCGGCACTCGATTCATGACGCTTATGTAATACTCCAACAACACCGATATGTGCGAACATGCATCAGAATCATCGAATAAAAAGCAGCACCGTAAAGACAAAAAAAGGCTACCGGTTTCCTTCTCTTAATTCTCCTTCATTTATTCATTTACTAGAGTCACAGCTTGTCAAAGGAAACTTGACGAACGAGCGAGAGAGCGAGCGCGTCACACGTCGCTCCGATAAAAGTACTTATAAATCGGCTACAATCAGTTTCAAATAAATTACATCACGATGGCAAAGCTAGCGCGAGCGCACGCGGCTACACGTCCGTATTTAACACGGCGCCCCCCCCTGCCTTCATAACCTCTACCCCCCCTGCCCCCAAGAACGGACGCGAGACGCCACAGGTGTACAGCACCGCATCGTGCTGCCATCTAGTGTGCAGGCTAGGAATCGGGCGGTGCCACTGCGAACACACTCGACCGGGGCGAGTCATCATCACCTCTGCAGTTTGTTTTCCGTGTGGACCAATTGCACCCACCGCCCTCGACTCTTTAGTGTGACAGCTGCATAAATCGGATTGATATACATACATACGTATATGTATATATATTACAAGCGATCGAGGTTTTGATAACGCGGCGTCTACAAGACTAGCCTGTCACCGCGTTTCCCATTGGTTCTCCCGCCCTCCCTGCGAGGAGCTGTGATTGGCTGAATCGCGAAAGCTGGGAATTCGGCTACACCCGTTCGCACCTTCGCTGCCTCGTCATGTTTTGCCCTGTCACCGTTTACTTGATCATCTCCGCGACAGCACACCGGCGTACGCTTGCCCACCGTCGCAGCTAAACTACGCACACTGCCCCGCTAACGACGAACGAAAGCCCAGCCGATCTCCCGCCAGGTCGCGCCACAATACGACAGTCCGCGCGTACAGGCAAGACGCCCCGACGCGTCGTCGCCGCGGCAACCGTGCATCCCGGCAGACGACGATCGCGCGTGGCGCTGGCCAACGTTACCGACTCGTACAATGGCGGCTGCTCTGCATAGTCCGAGTTGTCGTCGTAGAATGAGAGAATGATCTGTGAGGAGTGTGGCGAGGCGAGTCGGCCATTACTTTGCGCGCCGCGCCGCGAAGTTTCACAACCAAAATCTGGCGACGGCCGATCGACGATCGCTACGACATCCGCTACGACGCTGCACCGACGACTCGATGGCGGCAGTCGCCATGCCGACGAGAGCAGCTTCTAACGTGACGCCGACGCAGAGGATAACGCGCCGCGACGGTGTCGCCACCTAGACTCCTGTCCGCCATCGCACCCCAATACGATTCATGATGCCACCCGGTGGCGAAAAACGGCTATCGAAAATTTAATTAGCGTTTGAATTGATTTCGGTGAAACGTCAGCACCGCTGCGTCTTCCCCCCTCCCCCAGCCGGCCACTTAATTGCTCCGCGAATAGGAAAAAAAACCGCGCCCACTCGCTAACCTGACGCAGCCCGCACGAAAGTCTTGCATAAATTGGCTAGTCGCCGCTGCCGAAAAAAAACCGCCCGCGGACTTGCAGAGAAAACAAGCGACCATCCCGCCGCGCGCCCCGGCCGATCGCAGTTTGTTCCGCCGGCGCACGCACGCCTCGCCTAAATCGATAAAACAAGAGGCAGCTGCGGCAGAGGCGAAGAGACATGCTGGCGTGCGTGCGACAGCAGGGGGAATTTCCGCGCGCCCCGGGGGGGTCGACGACGGCGCCACCGCACGCCACCGCGTCGTCGATAATCAACCGACATTACCTAGAGAATCGCGCGACAAAATAGCGTTGAAGCTGCCTGGCCTGGCGAGCCGCGCTGCCGAGCGGGGCCGGTTCAAGGGCGAACGGTCTCTATTGGAGAGCGGAGAGCGTGCGTGCGGCGCGTCGTGCGTCGGATTTCGCGTGCCCGCTGGGGGGTCCGCTAGCTCGGGGCAGGACATCAGGACAGAGACCAGAACAGCCAATACCGTTGGAGTGGCGGTTGAGGTACAAGCAAGTGCGACGGCAGGCTTTGCTTCCGCAGGCGCGCGGTCTCATGCAAACCACAGTATCGAGCACGAGAAAGCAACACTCGAGTGGATCAGGCGCGCAATGCGACGCACGTGGCTGGTCTAGGCGGCTCAGACCCTGGCCCCTGGTGGCGTGTTGTTGGGCAAAGAACCGGCACGCTATCAAGCATACCTGACTCCTTGTCACGCTATCCCTGCCGAAGTACATATAGCGAAGGCAGCACACACCAGGCTGCAAGATTGACACCCCCGGGTGGCCCTCGGTCGATCCCCGCCCCTCAGTAATCACGGCCACACATCCTGCAAACATCGGAAGCGCGGGAGCAATCACCATTCGCGCATCTCAAACGCACGTGCAGCACCCCGGAGAGGACCTCTTTGCGCTACTGATCAGCCGGGAGCGTCCAAGGGTGTCGAGACGTCCGCTTTATCGTTTGCCGCGTCCGTCCGTTTTGCTTGGGTAAGCGACGCCTGCTTTGGGTTAACGTGTGCAGTCGAGCGGCGTAGGCGCTATATTACTCCGTTCTTTGTCCAGTCCGCGTAATGAAAGAGAAGATGAACGAAGGCGGGCGCGGGGTGGGAGGTGCGCATTGCCGCCGTGAATGGGCGGCCTGCCCCGAGGTTCCGACTCACTGTTGCCAAAAGACCGATTCATCTGATGTATTCCATCTTGCAAAGTTTCCCCATGTCTTCCTTCCCCCCACTCCCCAGAAACCTCCCAACGGAGAAATCCGCTTGCCGAGTGGCAGAGGCCTTAAGACGGTTAGCGTCCGGTCCAGGCGATCTCTCCCCCGGTCAACTGTAGGGTTCACGGTACATGCAAGAATGGCGACAGTCGATAAAATGTTACATGATTGACGACTTTGCTCGCTTCGGGGCGGGGATCTATTTGCGAGGCAGCCCCTCGGTTCACAGGCTGTGAAGTAATTGTCGGTCCACTTTACTTGCTATCCCTCCGGATAGTCAGCCAGCAGTCAGCAAGATGCATCGACGGTTATACTTTAAGGCAATACGGCGAAGAGGGGGTGGGCATTCCGGTGTGCGTGAGGGGAGGGCCC